AGAGACCACAACATTTAGCTTAGATTTTTGCTCTGTTTTGTTTTTGGTGGAGGGAGAGGATGTGAGCAGAGGCACTGGATTTGAAACAGGCATTGACAGAAGTTTAATCAAATAACACTAGGTCTAGATATGAGTATTAGATGCCATCTCTCTTTTTCTTCACAACTCCCTTCCAAAACGAATAAACAATAAGAAAACAAACAAAAGAGATCTAATTTAAAATGACCCCATCTTAACCCCTTTAGAGAAGTTTCACAACTTCCCCTGGTTGTTATTGTTCTCAGCCCCACTGGTGAGAAAGTGGTCTTCCTAGGGTAGTGGTTCTCCAAGTGCAGTACCAGGAAAACTTGCTTCACCTGGAACTTGATCGAAATGTACATTCTTGGGCCTCCCCCCAGAACTGCTGAATCCTCAGCTCTGGGACTGGGGTCCAGCCCTCGAGGTCATTCTGAGGCATGCTAAAATTGGAGGACCTCCGTTCTAGGGAATAACTGAGTTCACACCAGCTATAATTTAAACTGGTCTCAAAGACATGTTGACCTATTTTGGAAAACTGCTAGTTACTAACCTATACTATCTTAGAAAAAAAGTTGAATTTATGAAAAAGGATTCTTATTCTGAACACAGATAGATTAAGATCGACTTCCTATGGCCACCACAGCACTTTTCCAATAAGAGCTTAAAAAGTTATATAAACATTACCAAGTCTCATTAATCCTCACAGTTTACCTTGTGGGTGGGTCATCTTTTGTGAAGATGATGTGCTCCGGTGGACATGAATCTGTCAGAAGGAAGAGAACACAGAGCTCTCATTTTGCAGTTAAATTATAACTTCCGGTCAATAACTGGGTAAGTTAATGTCTTTCTGGAAAGAATGAGAATGCCTTGAAACAAGGCGAAGTTCACCTGTCAAGATTCAGTTAGCACAAAGAAACCTCTGTTTCCACAACTAGTGCTTTAAAAGCTAAAAAACAAGCTAACATGCATACGAACACAAAGACCCATGCAGTCTCTAAGATATGTTTGCCTAGCGAACCATAAAACACGGCCTAGCAGGGATTTCTGAACTAAGTGAAGACTAGAAGTTTCTGCCCAGTTCTCTGGGACAGCTGTAGTGCCTAAAGGAGATCTGCCCAAGATCTACAGAGGCTCCAAGTAGAAATATCTTGAGATTACACTAATGTGTATTAAGGGTTGCAAAATGGCAACAACAAAGGGATCAGAGACAAATGATTTTTCATTTAGATTTTATTTTGAAAACAAAGGCTAAATTTTGGGTAATATTTTATTTATTTACTTTATTATTATTATTATTTTTGAGGAAGATTAGCCCTGAGCTAACATCTGCCACCAATCCTCCTCTTTTTGCTGTGCCTATCTTCCTCTACTTTATATGTGGGACACCTGCCACAGCATGGCTTGACAAGCAGTGTGTTGGTCTGCACCCGGAATCTGAACCCATGAACTCTGGGCCACCGAAGTGGAACATGCAAACTTAACTGCTGCACCACCAGGTCAGCCCCTGGGTAATATTTTAAACAAAACAACCTACATGACTTAGTGTGAAAGCAGGAAAAGAAAATCCCAGGTGGACAGAATTTCTTTCTTTTTAAAATTTACATATCATGCATTCATTCATTCGTCAGTCTGTCATTTGTTCATTCCTTCTCTCTTCTTCTTCACACTTGGAGCTCTCCTTGCCTAAGGGATCGAAAATCATCACTGGTGATGAGTATTCTGACTTAGATCTATTGATAACCAAGGAAACATAAAAGATTTGATTATTTATAAGCTGTGTGATCTTGAACAAGTTATTTAAGTTCTCAAGAGCCTGTTATCATCATTTCTGCAACAAAATTATAATATTTCTTTTATGTCGTTCTTGGTAGTAGGCATCCTATGTATTCTATCAATGGGATTTCCTCTTAATGAAGTGGGCGTATATATATAGCAAATATTTATCTGGCTATTTTGTCTGCTTTGCAAACTTATATATCAATGTACCAAATTTCTTTGTTTATTCTTGATATGCTTTAAATTCAAAATGTCCAAAAAGAAGTTATTCACCACCCAACAAATCTTCTTTTTTTATCAGTCATATTATTATATTATCTTAGCCATATTATTCCTATGAATCAAGCTAATCAGGTCTACTGCCCTCTTAACAACCTGATAAATGCAAAGAGCATCACAGTCCTGCTGTTGCTTGCTTTGTAACATCTTCCTTACCTTCCCTCTCCCCTTACCTCACCCTCTTGTGTCTGGACTATCGTCTGTTACATGTTTTCCTGCTTTTGTTTATCTTTTTCTTGTCAGTCTAGTCTTAACAGTGCAGTGGATGATCAGACAACCTTTAGCACTATACTGCATGGGTTGGACTCTTACTTCTAACCCTTCATGGTTATATGAACTTGGGCAAGTTATTTCAACACAAATAGCTCCCCCCCCCTTTTTTTTTTTGCGGAAGATTAGCCCTGAGCTAATATCTGCCGCCAATCCTCCTCTCTTTGCTGAGGAAGACTGGCCCTGAGCTAACATTTGTGTCCATCTTCCTCTACTTTATATGTGGGACGCCTGCCACAGCATGGCTTGCCAAGCGGTGCCATGTCCGCACCCGGGATCTGAACTGGTGAACCCTGGGCCGCCAAAGTGGAACGTGTGAACTTAACCACTGTGCCACCAGGCAGGCCCCAAATAGCTCCCATTTTTTCATCTGGAAAATGGGCATTATAAAAGTATCTATTTTACATATGAATTTTTTGAAAATTCAGTGATATAATCAACATAAAATTCTTATAGTACTCAGCTCAGAGCGAGTACTATATAAATGTTAGATTATTTTATTCATTGCCCAATCAATCTTGCTAAAGCATATTTTATCATGTCATTGCCTACTCAAAAAAATCCAAAATAGCTTCCCAATGCCAACAAGTTAGATTCCAGAGCAGAATGTTTGTAAATGGCTGATGATTTTATTGGAGAACAGGTATTCTAGAAATTCCTTAGAGTGGTGCCCTTACCTTAAGCAACCACGTCAACTAATGCACAAAGGGAAGCTAATATTTGGACATTAACATAGGGGAGAAGAACAGATAAATCAAGAACACCCCATAATCCTTCCTGGAGGACCCATGGGTGAGACATCCTCTCCATCGCTTGCAGTTGCTGTGTCATCTTTGCCCGCACTTGACCATTCCTTGAACCTCTGAATTTCCCAGTTCTTCCTCCCATCACAGCCTTATATGTGGTAGTTTGTACTTCACTTAGTCCCAGAGAATTTGAGAAAGCTTACAAAAATGTGTACAGCAGGAGAAAAAATAAATACATAAAACCTTGTTAAATACATTTTAAAATGTAGCCAAATGAGCCCTCTTAAAATCTAGAGTGTTCAAACCAATTTTCCCAGTGTATGTGTGTGTGTTTGAATTGGACCCAATAAAATGCATCTATATACCTAGCTACCTACCTACCCACATATCTGTCTCTATCTTTATTTCTACATCTCTATCTATCTATATATAAATTAGGGAGGCATCTCACCCATGGGGTGGGGGCTGGAGATTGACTTAGTTATGACAGTGAACTGCTGATTAATTCAGGTACTCAAAGTTCTTCTAAAAGGTGAATCCATTCCTCTACTAAAAATTGGAGAATTTTGGAAAAACTGACACCTTACCTCCAAAATAAAGTTTGAGGTTATTCAAAATAAAACTAAATGACTTTGAATAAAGGCTGAAATAGTGGGAGGACTGCAGGTTATTTTTAAATAATCTTCTGGAGGGTTTACAAAAATTGAGGTATGTGGAAAACCTCTATCTCAGTTTCACAGAAGTAAAATATATGAGGTTAGAAACAGATTAGCTGAGCCTTAAAATACAGGATTATTTTTCAAGAAAGCAGAAGAAATTTACTTCTCAGTATAAAAAAGAAAGCAAACAATATCCTTTCCCCATTCTGATGTATCAGAAATATTATGAGGAACAGAGAAAAACTGTTTCAGATATTCACTTACAGGTGAGCTGACCACATGTCCTGTGTTGCCCTGGAGAGTCCAGATTTATATCTGTTGCTCCGGTCTGATAATTAGTAGTGCCTCCTTTTGCTCTGAAGTGTTTTGCTTTAAATGATAAATTTCATGTTTACCCCATACAGTCATGCACTTTATAACAACAGTTCGGTCAATGACAGACCACACATACCCTGGTGGTCCCATAAGATTAGTACCTATATCCTAGGTGTGTAGTAGGCTATACCATCTAGGTTTGTATAAGTACACTCTGTGATAACATAATGATGAAATCACTTAACAATGCATTTCTCAAAATGTATCCCTATCTTTAAGGGATGCATCATTATACATGTAAAACTGGATGAAGAAAATTTTATATATTGACTCATTAAATGCTTATTTGCCCAATTTGCAAAAGCAGAGTTCTAGCTGAAACTATCTGCTTTGGTTGGAAACAAACCAATTTACCTTTCTAAATGAGTGTTGCTTCTAAGAGGTATAGGGCTTCCCAAATTTCACGTGTAATAATCACAATTCTGCATGGATTTGGAAATCCCAGTGTCTGTAGGGATTACCATTTCATTCTTTCCACTTGATGAACCACCTCTAAAAGACCTCTGGGAAGGGCTGGGACGGCTGGGAACATGAGGCCAAACCAAAGTCCCCTTGAGGTAGGGATTAAAGGCCGTGTATTAATCTCATACAAGTTCCCTTCACAAATCCTACAGAGATCAATATATTCATAGGTGACAAGCCAGCTGCAAAGACAAACAAAGCCCTTAGGTTAATTCTCCTGATCCAATTCCCCAATTTTCCATGAAAATAAGTCCAAGTCCTTGTAACTTTAAGATCTTTCCCAATCATGAGCTGTCTAGAAAAGCAAGAGAAACTCCTGGGAGGTTATAGGGAGAGGTCTTACAGGCAGACAGTAGAGCCCAATATTTCAGTGGACCATTGCCAATTTGCATCTATTGGGGAGAACGACCCATGGCTCTTAGATAGTTGTCTCCAGAGATAGCTCCAGTTTGTGCCACCAAATCCTTTCTCTGTTTCATGAAACTGCATTAGAAAACTGTTAAAATGGACAATAAAGATAGGACTTACTTTTTTATCAGGATCTCAAACTAATTTAGGGAAACATCATCCTCATTTTTATCTCAAACTTCACATATGCTTTAATGAATAAGATAATGTAAGTGATTATATGAGATGACATGTGAGAACATTCTTTGCAATGAGGTTATACAAATGGAAGGCAGTATTATGGTTACAATTTCATGTCTGAATCCTCCAGATTCCTCTGGGGGCTTAGCCCCAGGACAGTACAGTGTTGAGAGCTGAGTTTCCAGTAGACCAGCAGAGGTGATGTTTACCATTCTATTCTCAGAGTTAAGTGGGTGGGGCATGGGGCAAGTGTTGTTGCAAGGCTGATGTGTTCATTCTCCCTCCTTCTCAAACTTGTTTTGGCAGTCTGGTGAGCTGGCCAACTTCTTCTGAAGACAGTAAGTGGGGGAGGGATTGGGTCAGGAGTAAATCCTGTCCTGTTGACCTGGCTTTTTTCCCTCTTTGAACAGCAATTTCACATTGACTCAGGTTGTCCTTATCTAGAGTTCAACATTTATGCTTCTAAGATTCTGAACTTCTTGCTCCTGAAGCCCAAAGAGGCAAATAAATGGGAAAGAAAAATCAAGAAAAAAAAAAAAAAATGAAGGTGGAGCAGAAAGAAACCTAGAAAAGCAAGAGGATAGAGAGGAAAAGATTGAGGTGGAAATTACTATTGGGTGAAGATCTTAATTGTTCTGGGTTTCAGTTCCCTCTTCCGTAACACAGGAATAATCAAGTAAATAGCTTTTAGGACAGTTGGGATGATTCTATAAGATAAAATATATAGAGGACATGGAGCAGTGCCTGGCATATTACTGGTGACCAGGAATTATTATTATATTATGTTGTTCTAACAAAAGACTTGGAGTATAAGGAATAAATTTTAAAAGTCACGTTTGCATCAGTCTATCTTTGGCCAAAGATAGCTCCGGGTTTTTTCGTTTTTTTTTTTTTCTGAGAAACAAACTGTAATCTCTACCCTTGCTGAAATGGATGGTAGAGGTGATCTGATGTTTGCCTTCTGGTCACCATCCTTGGTGCCCATGAGCCAAGTATGCAATGAATATGTACAGATTTGCTTCCTCCAAACCCTAATTATGAATCTATGATTCTCATGTGTGTGGCCAGAGGTTTTTTATCACCTTTGATTTACTTTTCAATAAAAATGACATGATTCATCAAATAACTCAGGGCCTTTTGCAATGGGAATAATTAGAAAGTAGCCAGAGATGCCTCATGGGTGATTCTGATCTCACTGAAGAGTCACGCCCACGCCCTGAGTCCCAAGCGTTGTTTGGTGCTAAGCCTGAACAGCTGCCACCTGGGTTCTGGATTCAGCTGGTTTGATTTTGGATGGTGTAAGAGGCACTAGAAAAAGATGATAAAAGGCCTTAAGAAATCCTTTTCAATTATAGGTGTGGTGTTTTCAAAATTACCCTGTTTTCAGTGAGCTCAGCTCCACCCAGAGGAAAGAGAAGTGTGTAGCCAGCCGAAGAGAAATGACTTTGTTAAAGCTCTGCATATAGAAAAATGGAAGAAGGAGCCTGGGGAACGAAGCTGGTGCCTCCATCTTTACCCTCAGGTGCAGTGTTTATATGAAGTAGGCAATCATCTAGTACAAGCTCAGCCAGTAAATTCCAAGAAATGTATCTAAGGCACATCAGGTCGACCCTTACGATGAATCTCTGAGGAGTCCTCTCTGGTCTCTTGAATTCCTGTTTCTTTTTTTTTTTTTTTTTAAAGATTTTATTTTTTCCTTTTTCTCCCCAAAGACCCCCCGGTACATAGTTGTATATTCCTCGTTGTGGGTCCTTCCAGTTGTGGCATGTGGGACGCCGCCTCAGCGTGGTTTGATGAGCAGTGTCATGTCCGCACCCAGGACTCGAACCAACGAAACACTGGGCCGCCTGCAGCGGAGCGCGCGAACTTAACCACTCGGCCACGGGGCCAGCCCTGAATTCCTGTTTCTTTTACAGCTGACAAAGATCTATGCCTCGTTTAGTTATAATCTTAGTCACAATCTAGCAACAGAAGCATATGCAGGTGGTATCCAGGTCATTCTCTGTCAATCAAAGAAAAGACATACATACAATTTTTATATAGTCAAATATCTAAAGACACATCATGTGCCAGGAGATTGAGAAATACCTATTATCTTTTCCTGGACCGTCTCTTGGACCTCCTTGGGGACTAGATATATCCATTCTTGTATAGGCCTTGCATGAGGGAATTACTGTAATGCCAGAAGACTATTATGGAAGAGAACAAATCATGGGAAGTTGGAGCTGAAAAAGACATCCAAAATTACCTAGTTCAGTGGTTCTTGTTGCTAGCTAGATCACCTGAGAAATTATGCAAACTACCAGTACCGTGTCCTACTGTCCAAGAGATTCTGATCTAATTGTTCTGGTTTGTGGTATGGGCTTAAATAATGGTTATTAAAGGAAAGAATAAATGTATTAATAAATGCATAATTAATACATTTAATTAATTCATTCATTAATAAATGATAAACATGTAAATTAAACACTTTTTTGGAAAACTGGAAACAAAAGCAAGTATTTTGGGGTATGATCTTGATTTGCTCCTTCTTTTGGTGTTCTGAGCACCCAACTTCCAATGTAGGGGGGCTCCCCACATCACCAATTCTCTGGCGACACCAGCTGGGTGTCCTACCATTCAGCTCAATTCTGACACTTTACCTACCCAGAGATAGCGTCAAACTCTGGACTGCCCCCCTCTCCCACCCCGCTTCAGACACCAGTAGCAAGCCTAAGTTGTTACCTGTACTTCCGACTGACTGTCTATAAAGCAGAGGTTCCCACAACACCCTCTCTCCTTGGGTTCAATTAATTTGCTAGAGCTACTCACAGAAGTCAGTGAAACATTTACTTACTGGATCACGGGTTTATCATAAAAGGATATAACTCAGGAACAGCCAGATGGAAGAGATGCACAGGGTACGGCATGAGAAAAGGGCTCGGAGCTTCCATGCCCTCCCCAGGAACACCACACTCCCCGAATCACCACTTGTTCACCAACATGGAAACTCTCTGACCCCTGCCCTTTGGGTTTCTATGGAGGCTTCATTATATAGGCATGAGTGATTCAATCATTGGCCATTGTTGATTGATTCAACCTCCAAGCCCTCGCTGCTCCCCAGAGGTGGGGGGTAGAGATGGGACTTAAAGTTCCAACCCTCTAATCACATAGTTGGTTCTCCTGGCAACTAACGCCATCCTTAGGGGGAGTGAAAAAGTCGCACATTATCAAAAGGAGAGACAACTTTGTAAAAGCCTTCATCACTTAGGAAATTCCAAGGGTTTTAGGAGCACTTTGCCAGAAAGGAGGATGAAGACCAAATATATATTTCTTATTATAAATCACAATATGACACTCCTATAGCTCACTTTGATGAAATGTACAATGCAATCAATCAAAAAAAAAACTGAGTACTGGCTCAAAGTTGAAGATGCCATGAAAAAAGTAAGGGTGGTTTTAAAAATATGTTCACAGATTCTTTGATATTCCTACCTTCATGAAGTGGAGCCCAATTTCCCTCCCCTTAAGTGTGGGCTGGATTTAGTGACTTGCTTCTATCCAACAGAATAAAGCAGAAGTTGTGGCATGTGACTTTGAAGACTAAATCATAAAAAGGCACTGTGATGCATGTGTGCATGCACTCTCTCTCGGATCGCTTCTTCCAGGGAAAAGAGCTGACATAGCACAAGGACACTCAGGTAGTCCTGTGAAGCCCACATTTCCTTCTGCGAAGAGCAATTTAAGCAAGCCTTCTTGGGAGTAGATTCTCTAGATCTGGTCAAGCCATCAGATGACTTCTCATGAGGTTGCAGCCCTGGCTGACAGCTTGACTGCAACCTCATGACATCCCTTGAGCCAGAGGCTCCTAGCTAAGCTGCTCCCAGATTCCTGGCCCTCAGAAAATGTGTGAGATAATAAATGCGTGTTGTTTTAAGATGCCAAGCTTTAGTGTAATTCGTTATGCAGTAATAGATAACTAATACAGTAACACATGATCCCTGGCCTCCACAAGTTTGCAGCACAGTTGGAGAGGTAGGTTACAGCACAAAAAACATAGCAAACTATCAAAGGCCATAAATGTTCTGTCATATGAAGGACTACTGTGTGGTAGAACTCCAGAGGATGATATGCACATCTTTGTGAACTGAGTGCCCTGCAGCTAAGGAATCCAGAGCCTGTGTGGCAGTAGAGAACAGTGGATTACATAGATGATGGATAGATAGATAGATAGATAGACAGACAGATAGATATAGATAGATAGATAGATAGATAGAAAGAAGATAGTTAGACAGATGAGTTATGCCCTTGGAAATCTTCTTCATAGTTGTGAGATGTCTGAGGAAGACGATGGAACTAGCGCATGGACCTGGATCTTTAAGGTTTAAGTAGCTTTAAGTTTAAGTTAAGTTTAAGTAGTTGAAGTTAAGTAGCTTTAAGTAGCTCATTGAAATTGCATGTAATATGCTACTAAAGCAGACAGGTAAGCAGTCAGATTAATAAAAGATTTCAGTTAAGGTAGTTGATTAATCATCGTGCAAGCTTACTTTTCCAGGCTTTAATGCTAACATTGTTCTTGCCATTGTTTATTGCTGCATCTTGTGTTTTTCTTGAACTGCACCAGCAGTGGGCCTTTAATCCCCATTAGTACGAAATGACCCAGCCCCTGTCAAAGTTGATTGGATTAGAGGTTGAAAACCTGATTCAAACTGTAACAACCTGAGGCCCATTTGCAGGAATTAATAATGGAGACTTGGCTGAGGTACTCTCTTAAATGGCAGATAGGCTGGTATGTCATCAGCCACATTTTCCTCCATAGCAACCTGGGAAGCACAGAAATCTAGCCTGGAGACACAGGAGAGAGTTCCATAGCATGAGCTGTAATTTTACAACAAACTGTCAGTTTCCCTTTGTCACTGAAGTTGGTCACAGGTGGATCTTTTCTACAACCAAAAGAATCCATCACACTATTCATGACTTTACAGTTTAGGCCATTAACATTACAAATGACTTGAACTTTGTCTACTGCATATTATAATAAGGTCCCAATGGCAAAGCATCTATTCTTTTGCACTTTAAATGATTTTCTTTTTCCTAAATGAATGACTTTCCAGAGAAATGGCACAAGTAAAAGAATTTATAAACAACATCTGTCTAGCTCATGTTATTGGTTATTTGTGTAAAAATTTGTCTTATTACTCACACAAGATTTTTTTTGCCCTTTGGAAAAGAATAATCTTTGATTTCCTGTAAGTAAAAGAGCCAGGGAAAATTTTTTATTCTGATCTAAGTTGTTTCTTCACTTTTAATTATAATATCTACTATTGCTCCATCCAGCCAAGAAAAATCTGACCTAGTGTAAAGCTCTAGAATAATTTTGATTAAAAAAAAAAGGTTCAATAGCAACAATATGTCAATTTAAATAAAAAAAGACTGTTATACTCCCATAAGTCATTGAAGAGATATGGATAAAGAAGTTAATAACATAAACCTAAAATGGGTTTAAAAACTAAAATACAGCCTATAAAGAAAATGTATCACTATTGTTGTTATTACGTCAAATGGGAACATTTTTATTTTACTGTATATGATTAATTGGATGGATACAACCAAAGACTAAAAATCCAGAAATACCTCGCTCTGTTTATTTTTCCAGCAGTGTTTGGATGATTCTGAATTCCAGAACAGCAGCGAGGTCTTTTTGTCATGGAGTTTTTTTCTTTTATTTCTGGGGAAGATAAATATCTGGTTTAGTAGTGATGTCTAGTGTAAGAGATTGTTTTTCAGAATATTTCAACTCATCTTCGGGTCATTGACCTCAGGTCTGAAATTTGCAAGACGTTTCCTCATGCAGTTTGTTCTTCGGAGCACTCCTTTCTCATAACTCTAGTATCTGTCCGTAGGCTATCTGTTCTGGCACAGGGGATTTATCTTTTCATCTCAGGAAATTTCGAAGGATTGTAAACATGTATCAGAATATCCAAAATTATTGTGTTAGTCTATTATGAAAAACTATAAGCTCTTGTTTCAGCTTCTATCTTTTCTAGAATTTTTATCATAGCCCTTTTTATTGTTTCTTACACTCAGTACTAATGGTTTCTTATGGTAGCTGGAGATGATTCTATTGGCTCATTTCTCTCTCATTTTTGATTCCTTACAATCATTGAAGGGATCAACACAATCTGAGGCAAGGATATTAGCTTTGCAAGCATTTGATTCCTACCTGGAACTTGAGGCAGAGCAATGAGAGTTGGCAGGAAGGACTTAGCTGGGATTGTGGGAGGAATAGCCCTGGGTGAGTTAAAACGATAATGCCAGAGAGGTAAGAGAGAGAGGGCAACAGGGTCGCTGGGATGGTAAGAGGAGTGTGTGCATACAAACGTGCCCTAGATAAGGGTTGGTCACCTGAGATGGTGTGATTGTGGAAAGGACTGAGAGGACCTGTATGTGGTAGAAGCTGCTGGTTCACCTGGATCTGCTCCTTCATGGCTCATAGCTCAACACATTTCCTAGGCCCTCTTGCATCCAGATAGGGCCTTGGGACTGAGTTCTGGCCAATGAACTTCTAGCTCTGATCACAACATATTCCATGAAAGCTTCCACTCTCTCTCTTTCCCAGGCCACCTCGCTGAAAATGAAGGATCCTGAGAGTCTAAAAGATAATGCTACCAAAGGAAAGAAGGAGTCCTGAGTCATTGCTTCGAGGAGAGGTACATTGGAGTTTGTATAACAAGAAATAAATTATGTTAAGCCACTGAAAGCTGGTGTTAGTTTATTATAGTATTAATTATCCTGACTAATATAATATCTCTTTGGTTCTGATGTTATCTTTGATATTGCCACAGAACAGAATAAGAAGCAGAAAAATATTACTTAGAGAGAGGATATTCGAGTCAGGGGGAGGAAAAGCAGAAGAAAACAGATGGCATTGGGCATGGAGGGCCTCCCAAGATAGGAAACGTTTTGTGGATGTACTGATCTAATTTTAGAACTGAGCGGGACACCTCTAAATGGGCCTCGATGTGTGTAAAAGTAGACTGGCATATTTTTGACAGCTATAATTAAAAGAATATCTATTTTATACATCTGTAAATGAAGGACAATAAATGAAGTTTATTTGAAAGCATAAAATAGGAAAGATCAGAGATCAAATATCAAGTTCTTAAATATATATATAAAAAGATTTTTTTAAAAGTGCTGAAGTACACTACGTGTATTTCAAAATACCCTGGGAAGAAAGAGGAGAGACTGAAGCCCTGAGCTTGCTGGGTGGAGGGTGCTGTGAGGACGGACACGTATGTGGAGAGTGTTTGGATTGTGTTCAATTAAGGATGAAGTGTGCTGGGCCTGGGAATCCAGAGAAAGTGGCAGGAGAGGACTAGATTTTCCCCATGCTTTTTAGCACTTAAATTCAGTGACTTAGAAGTCAGTTTCTATGCAACAAAAGAAATATTTAGTGATCAGCTTTGGAAGTTATTTGAAATTTTCAATCATCTGAAGGGTAAAAATTATAGCTAAAACTTCTTTTGAAATATAGCATAGTTTTTTTCCTGAAACATGGAATAAAGCCAAAAGTCTGAAATAATACCCCAACCGGTCATTCTTCGGTGAATGATTCATTTATGACTATCAAATATATATCATTACCTTTAAACTGTGTTAACACTGTAGCACCCATTGACTGGGATAGAATCACTCCTTTGTTCCTTCCATAAACTCCCGGTGATAGACCTTTCCTGAGGCTTGGGGCTTCCCTTTTCTTTTCCCCCTTCTTTCCCATATCCAAATTAGAAATTTCCTTAGGTTGAGAGGGCAGTCCAAAAGTTTACGAATAGAGATCCTCCAGGATCTAGCACCCACAGCTCCAGAGGTCCTCAGGCTCATTGTGGTCACTGTGAGTCGATCATCGTGGTCACTTAACTTCTAAGCAAATTGTAAAAGTGTGTCACTTCCAGCAGGAACAGGGTGCCCAGGGTCCTCCGACTCTAAAAATCTCACAAGCTAGGGGTGTGAGTGAGTGAAGGAGAGAGAAATAGGCAGAGCATAAAGGATGTTTAGGGCAGTGAAAATACACTATGTGATTTTATGATGATGGATTTTGTCATTATGTATTTGTCCAAACCCATAGAATTACACCACCAAGAATGAACGCTGGGGCCAGCCCAGTGGTGCAGCAGTTAAGTTCTCACGTTCCGCTTCTCGGTGGCCCAGGGTTTGCCGGTTCGGATCTCGGGTGCGGACATGGCACCACTTGGCAAGCCATGCTGTGGTAGGTGTCCCACGTATAAACTAGAGGAAGATGGGCATGGATGTTAGCTCAGGGCCAGTCTTCCTCAGCAAAAAGAGGAGTATTGGCAGTAGTTAGCTCAGGGCTAATCTTCCTCAAAAAAAAAAAAAAAAAAGAATGACTGCTAAGGTAAACTTTGATTGTTGGATGATCATGATGTGTCAACGTAGGTTCAACAGTTGTAACAAATGTACCACTCTGGTGAGTGATGTTGATCATAAGGGAGGCTATGAATGTGTGGAGGCAGGAGGTATATGGGAAATCTCTGTTCCTTCCTCTCAATTTTGTTGTGAACCTAAAACCGTCCTAAAAAATTGTCTTAAAAAAAACTCACTAGCTATAATTGTTTCACTAGAAGTTGACTGAGCAAAAAAAAAAAAAAAAAAAAAAAATAGGTATCTTAAATACTACCTGTGCTACATTCAGGGCTTAAATAATTTCTAACAAACTACACATTTTTTCTGATTTCAAAGATAACCATGTTCTCTGTAGAAAATTTGAATAATACAGAAAAGCCAAAGAAGAAATTGAAAATCTCTGAACTCTATTAACAACTTGGTATATACATGTATGTGTGTGTATTTGTGTGTGTGTGAAGGTGTGCATAAACATATATTTACATTACTAATACAATATATAAATACATGTTATATATTTATATACCTACAATATATAAATACATAATTTTTGTATTTATATTACATATGTAAATATGTAGAATTTTATTATGCATATTTTTGTTAGCTATAAACTTTGAGTTGTTTTATTAAAGTTATCTTATTTATTCATTAAAATTTTGAAGACACTCTAAAAATTCTCTCAAGTGATTTCACAAGAACTTTCTTCCTACTTTATTTCATTCTCCCCAAAATTTGTACCATAGAAGAGCAGGTATACTGTATAAACTTTTAATCTTACCACTGTTACGTTTTTCTGTAAAATAAATTATATTCTTTTCTTTGAAATAAAGCTTTAGATTTATTAGGGAGAATTGTGAACTATAACTCATCAACATCATCAAAAGGAGGCTTATTAAATCTTTTATCATGTGTATTTCTTTGCATGACATGAGCATATATACTGCCATTGGGGTCACTGTTGAAGACAGATTTTAAAAAGTCTACCTATCTGATAATGAATTTAATAGTTTGGGCCAGTGTCTATGAGTCTTTTATAGTCCTTGAAGGGTCACTTATTGACTGAGGGGAATCAGTGGTCTCTCTGTTTTTCCCATAATGAAAATGATAAAGCATTTTAATGGTTTTCTACTTCACTGGAAACCTTGGTACCCTCAAAATCTATTTATAAAGAAGGCTCCCACAAGTCACTTGTAAGTATGTGATGACATGCTGAGCTTAATTTTTACTTTACCTTGAAGCAGGCAGAGTGTAAGCAATTCCCCTCTCTGCTTCACGTTACACCGTTTAGTCCTAAAACAGAAAGCAACTATTGTTTATTCCAAGAGCCACACAGGGCCTTGGGTTCTACAGATTACACCACATGACAACTGGAATCAACTTGATGAAATGCATGAAATTTATTATATTTCCAATTGGCGTTTCTCCACTCTGAAGGTCTAAGTCTTCAGCAAGCATGCTTAGGAGAAGGTGTGGGTGCAGAGAGGTACAAAGCACTGAAGTTAAAAAGCTTGTCGTCTTTAGAGAGTTTCTAATTTGTGGTCACAGTGTTCTTTATTACAATCTAAATCCTGTGAAGAATGGTTGTTCTCCAAGAAGAACAAAATTGGTCAAATAGTTTAAATGCTGGAAAAGGAAGGAATTTTATAATTCCAAGTGGACAACCTTGTATTCTGGAGATAGTATTTGAGCAAGTTACAAAATCCACTGAACTTTGCCTATAGACTTCTACTTGTTGGATGAGATAGGAGACAATCTTAAGTATAGTACCAGAAACCAAGAAAAGTATGTAGTCGGTTGGTTAATAGACAGTATAAGCTACTCTCTTTGTAGCAATGAAGCAGCATCTGAGTCTACTTACATGGAATCATGGCATGCTAAAATGGAATTTTAGAAAATGTTGGGCAAGGGAAACTTTCCGGAGTAATCATTTAGTGAATAATTCTGTTTCTTAGTAAGATCACCTTTAAATAAAATAGGAAGACACTAATCTAGAGTTGTACTATTTTCCAATCTCCCAGTAAACCTTTTGTGTTCCAAATTTGTCAAGTATTTGTAAGTGCTTGTGTCCTTTACTCCTAGACTTAAATATTTGTTTTGCAAAAGAAATCCAATTTATTTCCTGTCTTTAAGACCTGCTCAATTCCTACTTTACTTCTAATAATTGCATCTACTTGTGACCCTTCCAAAAATAATTTCTCCCCGAATAGGATTCATTCCTTTTATCATTTGCTCCTAATAATAAGCCTACTATGAAAATCCAGTATATGCTCTATACATTTTTCTTGAATTGTAGAGCCCAGACTTGGTTATATTTATTTGTATAAGTTCCTTTGTTTCCTATCCAGGAAAATAATTTTCTTTATAGGGTTTCCTAGTTATCAGCAGAGTGTCCTAGTCTGAATTTCAAAGGAAACTGAGCACTGTATAAATAAAATACAGGTAGATTGTTATTGTTTTTAATTAAGATGCCAATCTTAATTGAGCTAACATCTGTTGCCATGCCTGAGCTAACATCTTTGCCAATCATATTTTTTTTCCTTTTTCTCCCCAAAGCTGTACGCCCCAACCCCCAGTACATAGTTGTATATTCTAGTTGTAGGTCCTTCTGGTCCTGCTGCCTCAGACGCGGCCTCAGCATGGCTTTGATGAGTGGTGCTAGGTCCACACCCGGAATCCGAACCGGTAAAACCCTGGGCTGCCAGAGCGGAACATGGGAACTTAACCGCTCTCCCAAGGGGCCGGCCCCACAGGTAGATTATTCTTGAATCTACCATGGGTAATTGTTTGGACTTGTTAACCCCTAGGAACAGCTTTGGACTACTTATGGTTTTTAGGTTTTGTGTTTATTCTAGAGCAGAGAGAGAGAGAAAGGGAGAGAGAACACAAACACCTCCTGAGCTGAGGGAAGAGCAAAACGGTTCAACCCCTCTTGCCTCTCTCTTATGTCAAAATAATTCACCCACATACGGAGAAACTTTCCCCCCTACCTTTGCCACAAATACAAATTGCACTGAGAGCATTTACAGCTGAGTGTCTTTCTACCTCATCTATGCTGAGAATGTATTTACTTTGTCAGTGAAAATCCTAGAAGTGAGGAATTATCAACTGCTCTCCACTTCTCTTATGGCAGGAACAGAGCTAGTATTTTTTATATGATTTTCTAAAAATCCAGTATTGAAGATATAACCCATATTTCAACACTTGATGGCAAGGATACAGGTAGGAATTGTGTGAGGAAAAAATAATCTGGTATTTCTAGCTGGAAAGTGGAAGGGAGGTGTACAAAAACTACCTTGGGGAAGTGAGAAGAATATGCCATGCATTTTGAAGCGTTAGTCAAGTTCTGACCAGGATCAGCACTGGAAATGGAACTTCTCCTACTCTCCAACATCCTCAAACCCCTCAGGCCCAGATGCAGGTGCGGCATGGGGATGGGGCTGAGCTGGGGACGGAAGAGATTCCCATTCTCCCGTGATGTGACTCTCCAGCCACAGCCTGCTCGCTGGGGACACAGGACCTTCCTCTCCATGAATAATTCAGCGTGACTGAACACTCTGAGACCGCCTCTGCTCCGGTGGCCATTTATTCCCATCTCAGTGTCAACATCTCTGGGTTAAGGAGTAACTAAAACATTTTAGAGGCTCTGTCAGTTGTAAACCTGGGTAGTAGGACAAAAACACAAGGAGGAACCTATTTTTCATCGCTCTGCTGGCCCTGCCTGGCTCTGTCTGGCCTCTAATCCGTGCCTTGGCACCTGAGTTGACATAGCATCTCCAGCTGCTAACTCATTGTCAGGTGTGATTTAGGCCCTGGGGAGAACTGGCTAAACATCACCCATCTTCATGTTTTTAAATCTATTTTCCTTCTGATGAGCAGACAGATGCACTTCATCTTACTATAAGCTCAGCTTTTATCAGAATTCTTATAATCAGAGTGCCCCACAGAGAGTGAAAAATGTGATATACTTTATTTAAATATACGATTTTAATATAATCTTTTAGAAATTCTTATATAAAATAAGCATGCCTATATGAGAAAAAGGTAATAAAAAGACAAGATGTAAAGATCCCAAACTTTCTTTACTATGCGAGCAATCTTACACAGTAAGACAAAAAGGGAGATGTTGTAGGATTACACAAATGTTTTTTCTCTCTTTCAAAACATTCTATACTGTTCTAGTTTATAGATTTTTAAAACACCTGGACCAAAGATAAATTCAAATAAAATCTCTTCATGTTTTTGTTCATTCTTCCAATCTATTTTCTTGTATTTACTGTGGCATTTACATTGGAAAATTGTGATTTTGAGCAATTTATCAAAAATATTTTTGCTGACTTTACTGTTTACTCTTTAAAAAAAGTTGCTTTTTTCAAACATATTTTTTTGTCCTTTGCCAGAAAGAAAGTCTACTTTCCACAGTTCAGTCTTTATCTTGGAGATTGGCAAGAAGCAATGACTTTTAACTCATAATCCTTCGTGTTGTCTTGAGAAATCACAGTGTGGCTGGATGTGGGAAGGTCTTGACTCTTATCAATAATTAGTTCCTAATAGCATGGAACAGAGGCGTTGCTCAGTTATGATGTTCTTCTGAACCTTGGACATTAACAACTAATCTGGTAGACATTGATTTCTTACCTTCAGAGTACAATTAGTCCTATTCCCCTGGCTCACTAAGATTAGAAATTACATGTTATCTAGGTTTGAATGTTAAAGTGCAGACTGTTATTTCATATGTATTTAGTACAGGCATAATGAATCAACCATGAAATGACAAATACACGCTTCTTTGATTTC